CAATGGAAGCTATTGTTTGAGAGGTTTGGGGGTGGCAAATAACTGGGTATTTAGAATAATTATAGATATTGATGAGTTTATAGTACTTTCTGGGCTGATATAGATATAGGTCACAGATTCTTAAGCTGGAATCCATAATAAACAGCAGTTGCTGTATGATGTCATGGTGTTGATTTACAGCTGGAATTCTGAAAATAGAAAAGTAATTAACTCTCTAAAATTCCATGTGACAATATGTGCAATAACATGAGTATATGTTTGTGTGTACACATGTGCATGTGTATTTAAGAGAATGTTTATAGTATTATTAAGAGATCTCTGATTAGAAAGGAATAAAATGTGGTTTAGATTTCCATGGAGAAATGTTATCAAAAATTATCTTCAGCAAAAAAAGTTTAAAAATATTTGAAATAACTACTTATACATATAAAATACTCACATATTCTGCTATTACTATACTAAATTTGGCATCTTCCAATTTGACAGAAGAGATTAAAAGTAGTGAAAGTTTGTTTCAAGATAAACATTTGTAATAAGATATATTTTTATCCATTTTTTATAGAAATTAAGGAATAAACAAACATTGTATCTTTTAGGATACTTTTCAATTGTGTTGCATCTTTTCATGGTGATTTTTTACAAGGATAGCCTGGGGTTAGATGAAGAATATGATCATGGAAAAACGTTGAATTGCAAAGCATTTTCTCTCTATCTGTAGTTCATTTTATGCTATTTATACATAATACCAAAATCAATGAACTTGCACTAATTAGAATCAAATTAAGATAGTTCACATCTTCTGTCTTAGCATTTTTCTAAATTTAAAACTTAATTTTGTTAGAAAGAAGATACCCAGGGCTGGGGCTATAGCACAGTGGTGGAGTGCTTTCCTAGCACATGTGAGATGCTGGGTTTGATCCTCAGCACCACATAAAAATAAAATAAAATAAAGGTATTTATAAAAGTATCCTACTACAACTAAAAAAATATTTAAAAATAGAGACTCACAGATTTCATACTAATAGTTTATAAAACATAAATTATCTAGTAACATTACTCTGAATAGCCATTTAGAAAAAAATTCTTTGTGTTGGCTTTAAATGTCCAAGTTCATATTTTTTAATGTGATATAAGTGAGTGGATATTTGAATGGACAGAGCTTTAGGAAACTTGAAGATAGTAGGTTTAACTAATTTGAAGGCATTTATGCTATTTCTTTTCTTTAGGCATATTGGAATGGAAAACTCTCATTTTCATACTTCATTATAAGAAGACAGCATATTTGTTCACTTGTAACATTAATAAAATAGAGTTGATAGTTTTTTTTTTTTCAGTGCTGGGGATTGTACCCAGGGCCTCTCATATGGTAGACAAGTGCTTTATGATTCAACTACCTCCCTATCCCTTTTAATTTTTTTTTTTTAATTTTAGAGGTAGGATTTCACTAAATTGCCTATGCGGGCCTCAAACTTGTGATTCTTCTGCCTCAACATCCAAAGTAGCTGGAATTAGATAGTTGAGCTGCTTCACCTCATTGGTTTTGTTTGTTTGTTTGGTTTTGTTTTTTAACAAGAGGCACAGTAAGTAGCACTAAAGTTAAGAAGGGCTCCAGAGCCCAGTAGATTGGATTTGATTTTCTAGCCTGTGATTTATCATTCATGTGACCTCAGATATTTTTCAATCTGTGCATTTCAGGTTCTCTAGCAATGAAATGGAAATCATAGTTACACTTGACATGAAATTAATTAAATTTATGTACATAAGGCACTTTGAGCCATGTCTAACACAAAGTATTCAATAAATATTACCTATTATTTTATCACTTTTATTCTGATAGATTATTAAATGTCATTATTTTACTACTCTTTAACACTTCAGTTTATTTCAGTTTATAAGACCAAAAAGTTATATAACTAATTAGAACAAATAAAAAAATTAAAATGAGACCTAAAGGTTTTGCCTGGCAAACAAACAAGACAAGTCAACACAATAATTTGTTTCTTGTGGATAAAAACCACATAAGGAATGAAATTTCCTTTGAATAATAAAGGAAATATGTATACCTTTATTTCAAATGATGAAGGAAATGTGTATATATCTTTATTTCATCTGAATATCCAAATAAAAATTTAAATATTAAAATTGACACAATGTTTTTCTCAAGTTCATAGCAAAATGCTATTTTTGATAGGAATTGAAAAGGTATTTCAATGAGGATAGATGTTTTGGCATTCCCTTTTTTTTTTCTCTTGGTTACAAAGGTGATAAGATTAAGTAAGCTTGTTGAAGAATAACAAAAGAAGATTACCAACTTCATTCTAAAAGTTTAGAACCTTTTTTATCATTGAACTTTAGAAGGCATACATCACTGTGAGCTCATCTGCAAAACCCTGAAGCTACTATTACTTAGAATCTATGAGACATGATGAAATACATATGGCAGGGCTGGGCAACATATCCCTGAGTTAGTTGACTCTGGATTTTACTTGTTGGCAGAGTCCAGAGAAAAATGTAGTCATTACTTCATGTATGGCACAGGCAATCCCAGGGAAGAAATTGAAGATGCTTAGGACTTCTTAGCTTGGAGACTGTGCCAGCACTCCTTATCAAGTTATTCACCATGCAAATGAACAGTGAAGTCCCACACTGAAGCAGCTGTTAACTACATCAAACTGTTAAAAAGGATCAACAGTGCTAGAGGCTAAAATCTAATCAGACAGGTGAAATAGTGATAAGATAAATATTCCTGCCTGTAATAGCAATGATGTTTAATTAATTTATTTATTGTAATTCTACCAGAGCAACTGAATTTAGAATTCTTGTGAAATATGTTAAACTCTCTAAAGATATTTTCTTTCAGTTTGCAAGGTGTGGAAAATGAGAAACCTGAAAAATGGGATATTTTATTTGAAAGTATTTTTGTGATATTTCAGTATATTTGACTGCATGCAGATATGAGTGCCATTCCCTCTAGTGATGATATACTATAGAAAGATGCATGCAATTTCCAGTTATGGCAAATGGAGGTTAGCTACCAATTCTTGCTTCTATAGTTTGTCTTCATTTAATGTGAAAATAAAGTACAAATAAAAATGTTCAAAATGAAGGTAGCATTGGAGTGTTTCTGCTTTGGTCCCCAGAAATAAATGAGAAGAAAAATATTACATGGAAAAATAACATGTAATATACACAAGACCATCCATAAAAGCATGCCTGTTTGCTGAAAGAATTTGTGACTGCTCTTTTCTGGAGAGAAGTGTGTGAGGGGGTGTGTGTGCATGTGCACACATGCGCAGGCTTAATGTGTTTGCTCATGTTTATGTGTGGGTTTTAAATACACAATTCTGAAAGTGTATCTTCACCTGCAGAGGAGTATAATTATTACATTATGCATATTGTTTTCTAAACCCAAGTACATTAGAAACTAAACTATGTATAGTTCAGTCAAAGTGTAGTACATCAGAAGCATTTTCCTTAATGTTTGTAAGAAATGGAAATCATTTGGGATTTAGAATAACAATTTGGAAGATTGTATAAACACAATTTTTTTCTTTTGCTTTCTACACATGTCATAGCCCCATCCAACAAACTGATGTTTTACCATAGCTAATGTCCTTATATTCGCTTATATCCATTAGTGCACAATCATATTACCATATTGTTTGCATTGACATCTCTATTTTTAATGTACTCTAAAAAAATTGCATGACAGGTTTTTTAGTTAAGTATTTTTAGTGTATTTTTAAGCTAGTCAAAAATATTAGCATTAAAAACACTAACCTTAAAAACATTAGATATCAATCAATGTGATTTGTCACTTTTCTGGAGTCAACAGAACCTATTAATATGACTTAAATAGGTAGAGAAGGAATATGTGAACAGGTGTAATCTGTTATTCTGATTATTAAATATGTTCACACTCAAATATATTTTAATGGAAACTTTTAACACTGTAGATACAAGAAATACACTTAGGGTGACAATAAAAGTTTTTAGGACTTAGTTTTGTTTTTAAGACACTCTGCCTTGTAGGAAGTTAAAGGATTATGAAATTAATGGACTATATTACGGAAACCTTTAAGTAAAAAATTGTTTTTTATCATTTCAATTTCACTCCTTAAAAGTGCCTGAAAAATAAATTTAGTGTATTAGATACAAAATATTCCCTAAATAGTATACATGTTGCAAAGTTCTGGTAGAATTCATGGGGAGAAATGATGACAACAGAATAATACAAAAATATTATTTAATATTTAGAATTATAGAATAAATAATTTTAATACAAATATACGTAAAAATAAAGAAGCAAAAATTGCAGGAAACTATTTTATAGGGCCAAGGAGGCTCAAAATACAAAATAGCAAAGAGTATTTGGAATCAACGTGTGTTTTGGATAACAAATGAGATTAGAAAGACCCTCAGCATAAGCAAAAATGAACTTGCAATATTCTTGTCTGATATCTAAATCACCTGTGTTTTCTTAAAAGCCTGTGAATGTGGTGGAGGACTAGGGGAGGAGCCCATTTTAATTAAGAGTGCTATCAAGAAGAGGCAGCTACTTAAAATGAAAATAATATACATATACTGCTATTTGCTTAAATATGTCTTGAAGAACCTTAATCCGGAGGACCAATACATTTAATGTTCATGGATAAATCTTAAGACTTTCAAGCAAAAGAAGAAAAATAAGAAAATCTCATCAATATAGGTTTTGTATAAGACTATACTGTCATTTATTTACTTTTAGGCTTTATTATTTCAGTTTAAGGGAGAAAAGCCTTATATTTTGATTTTTCCTAAGAGTTGGTCATTGACTCACTCTAGTGCTGTGAAGTTACCTTATTTTTCTGAAATGTCTTTGTTCTTTTGCTCTTGCAAAAAGTGACATGCCACTTTTTAATGTGTCAACTCAATGAGCCACATGACCAATTTTAAAAGCATTTACTGAATTTTAAACAAACAACAACAAAAAATCTTTTTTCTTTTTCTTTGTCTTTCAGGAAGTTGATGGCAATAAAGTTATGTCTTCATTCGCTCCACACAACTCATCTACCTCACCTCAGAAGGCAGAAGAAGGTGGGCGACAGAGTGGCGAATCCTTGTCTAGCGCAGCCCTGGGGACTCCTGAGCGGCGCAAGGGCAGCTTGGCTGACGTTGTTGACACCTTGAAGCAGAGGAAAATGGAGGAGCTCATCAAAAATGAACCAGAAGGTAAAGGCTGGAAAAGGAAATTGAGTAATTTCTGCTGTGTGGTTTCAGTACCTTGATTTTAATTCTTAGGTGTTTTTTATTTTGTTTTTTTTTTTTTCCTTTATGCTCATAAAGTTAAATTGGACAAAACAGAAACCAAATGCAATGAAGATGAACAGTATTCTTTCTCAGAAACACTTAGATGTACATCTCTGGATTTTTAAAATCATACTTTTATGTTCTGATGTCTTCCTTATTTTCCACACACAAGTGAGTTGTGGTTGAGTGAAACTTAGATTCAAGAATGGAATTTGGCAGCTGAGCCCACAAAAGTCACAGACCTGTCAAATATCTCAGTCTTGTTTATGTCCAGTAATTTCTTTGCATCAAGGACCATTTCAGAATTTAATTACATTTTTTAAACTTTTAGAATTTAATTACATTTTTAAAACTTAATATATCTTAGGTCTATTTCTTCGATAGTCCAAAATTCATATGGTTAGGCCTACTGTGTATTTAAAAATTAGTGATTCTCTTAAACTCCTAGATGTGCTCCCCATTTTGTTGAACTTCTAGAGTTATTCTTTTAAGATTTCATCTCTGACTCTCTTTAACATTTTTTGACAGCAGCCTGAAAGTGATATGCACAGGGACTTATTTTAACAGTAAGGCAAATACACCAGTACAAGCTCATGCACAATGGATGTGAGCTTTATGTTGCTGATGCTTACAGACACCTACTTACACCTGTGTACGCCCCAACCATGAATTCCACACCACAAGCAAGAACATGTCTCCTGTTTCAATCAAACCAACCAGTAATGGCATGCAAAGACATATTATAAACGAAAAATATACTGCATGTACGCTATGTAATACTGAGTTGTACTCATTTCTAGTCTGTTAGACACTGACAAATACTAAGTCTCTCTGACACAAAATGTTTATTAACTAATTTATTTGGGAATTATGTGATAAATATTCCTGGATCCCTATCAGATATAGAGCTGGGCCATGGATTATGGTTTTTATTTATGCAGTTCTCATGATCTTAGAATTGGAAAGAATTCTAGAAATGATTGGGTCACCCAAGAACTTTTGGTATTTTGATATCTTACATCCCTTTCTATTCTCACAGAGATAAAAATGAAGCTTTATGGAGGACCCAGACAACTTTTTAAAAAATATACTGTGTGTGTTTTCCTGATATTAAAAAAATATGATCTTATTATACAAATTATTTTAAAAACAAAAAATATTTAATGGAGAAAATAAAATTTACTTAAAATTGCAGATTTTTTGATATGAAACCTGTGATACATTTATTTTTGTATATTCTGTTTATTAAACAGGAGGAACTTCTTCCTTTCAAATTATTTTGCATCTTCAGTTGCACTTAACATTTTAGTGTGTTTTCTCTTATCATTAAATGTGATTTGAAAAAAAAATAGCTGCCAAATATTCAAAGGTATTCACTATTATAATTCATGTATTTTTAAATTAATAGATCTTTATTTTCATAGAGCAATTTCATATTTACAGAAAAATTAAGCAGATAATAAGAGAATTCCCATGTGTTTCCTCCATATACAATTTCCTCTTATTAATATTTTACATTAGTATAACTACATTTATTGTAATTAATGAACCAATCTTATTAGATTATTATTTACCAAAGTCCATAGTTTATTCAGATTTCCTTTGGTTTCAACAAGGGTGTTTTTTGTTTGTTTGTTTGTTTTTTCTATTTGGGGATCCCATGAAAGTTTAAAAATAAAAACACATTATATTTAGTTGTCATTTCTCCTAGGGTCGTTTTGACTATGACTGTTTGTTAGACTGTTCTTGTTTTCTTTATTTTAAATTATTTTTATGTGGAATTTGGTTTATAACACATCAAAACAAAAATTATACATACTAATGGGGGACCCTGAGATGTTTCAATGTATGCATTCATTTTTGTAATCAAATTGAACATACCTGTCTTCTCAAACATTTATGACTTCTTTATGGTATAAATATAAAGAAGTTTTTCTTCTAGCATTTTGAGATGTACAGTAGTTATACTGTTTTTGGTTTTGATGACCTTGAAAGTTTGAGATTCATGTATATGGCAGGATGTCCATTGATTGGAATTCGTCAGATGTTTTCATCTTAATTAGACTGGGGCTTGCAGTTTGGGGAGCATGACCACTGAGTAAAGTACATTTTTTGTCACATCATATCAATTATATACTTTCTATGCAATTACCCATGTCGATGTTGACCTTAAGGATCTAGCTAAAGTAGTGTTTTTCAGGTTTCTCTGCTGTAAAGTTGCTGCCTGCCCTCTTTCCACACCACATTCTTTGAAAGGAGAGAATTCTGCATGTCCACAACTAAGGAGGAGGGTGTTATGTGCATTCCCCTTGTTTAGGGTGGTGTATCTACATCATTGCATCAGAATTATTTTTCATTTATTTCTTCTCCCTCATTTAGCCATTTATTTATACTACTGTAGACTCAAGGAAATTTATTTTATACTTTGTATGTCACTTAGACATGCCACTAGTATTGTGATTGTGTTTAATTGTTTTAGTTGCTCTCTGCCTTATTTTGTGGTGCTGTAGGCTTATTTTATACCTTTTGCATACTCCTGTTCTACAATCAGATATTTTTCCAAGAAGCCCTGGTTCCTTTTATTAGAGAAAGGATCTGGATTCTAGGTGTGCTCATTGCTTCTGAGATGCTATTTCTATTTTAATGAGCATTTTCATTGCTGTGACTAAACAGATGACCAGAACAACTGTAGTGGAGGAAAAAAGTTATTTAAGGGCTCACAGTTTCAGAGGTCTCAATTCATAGACAGTGGACTCCACTCCTCAGTGTTCCAGATGAGACAGGAACAACCTGGCAGAAGAATGTAGGAGAGGAAAGCAGCTCACATGGTGGTGATCAGGAAGCAGAGACTCCACTCTCCAGATACAAAGTATATACCCCATAGCCGTACCTCCATGAACCACTTTGTCCAGCCACACCCCATTTGCCTCTAGCAACCACTCAGTTAATCCCATGAAGAATTTATTCACTAGTTAGGTTAGGGCTATATAACTCAATCATTTCTCCTTCAGACCTCCTTGCATTGTCTCACATGTGAGCTTTTGGGGGACACCACATCTAAACCATAACAATTTCTTTTAGGGCCTCTCAGCTGGTACAACAAATAAATTTATATGTATACATTAATCTACACACATATCTATAAATATTACTATGTTTAACAATACCTCTCTGGAGCTACACATGAATTCTTACTAGTGTCTCCAATATTAATCCCTGTTAATCCCCAGGGATTATTTTAGCATAATCTCTTCTTGATCTGTACACTCCCATCCATCTGACTCCCACCATCCACTTACTTAATTTTTTAATGACATTATGTACATATAACAATACCAGAATTATTAACTGGTACCATGATAAGAAATATCTTGATCAACTATAGTATAGTTCTTATATGGAATTTCTCCTGCTTTTCTTCTTAGAGATTCCATTCTTTACCCAAGTTACTTTGTAACTTACTTTCCCTCCACCCCATTCAGTAAGGTCATTTCATACATTTGTAATACAATTAAATTCTTTCTATTTTCTTTCTTGATATTCCTCAAACTTCTAAATGCTTTTTTTAAAAATTTGCTTTTATATTAAGGTTCAACCTTTGCATTTTGAATTTCTAAGTGTCTTGATAAATGGATATAATCACTTAGTCCCCATTACACTACCATGGAGACAGTTTTCATCATCCTAAATATCCCCTGTGCTTTACCTGATCATCACTCCCTCCTTTTCCAGAATACCAGACAAGTGGTTATCTTTTCCTATTCCTACAGTTTCAACTTTACTAGAATATCTTATAATTAGAAGCATACAGCATGTAGCCTTTTCAGACAAGCTCTTTACTTATTAATATATATTACTTCCATGTCTTTTCATGGCTTGATAGCTCATCTCTTTTTATCAGTGAATAATAGTCATTGTGTGAATGTACCACAGTTTGTTTATCTATTTGCATATCAAAGGACATCTTGGTTACTTCCAGTTTGGGCTTATTTGGAATAAAGCTTCTATCAATATTCATGTGCAGATTTTTGTGTGGACATAAGTTTTCAGCTCAATTGAGTAAATACCTGGGAAAATGATTGCTGCAATATATGGCAGCAAAATGTTTGGCTTTTTAAGAAACTGCTAAACTGTTTTAAATGTGGCTATATGATTTTACATTCCTGTGATAAATGTAAGTTCCTGTTGCTCCACATCTTCTTCAGCATTTGATATTGTTAGTTTTTTGGATTTTATTAATTCAAATAGGTTTGTAATAGTATCTTATTGTTGTTTTAATTCTCAATTCTGTAATGACAAGCAATGTTCAACATCTTTTCATATGCTTGTTTGATGTATGTGTATTTTCTCTGGTGATGTGTTGGTTTAGCTGTTTTATGCATTTGTTAATCCAGTCACTTTCATAAAATTTAGTTTTAAGACATCTTTATATATTTGGGATATAAGTAATTTATCAGATATATATTCTGAAAAATTTTCTCTCCAAGTCTGTGGCTTGTGATTTCATTCTTTGAATGTTTTCCTTTTTAGAATGAAAATGTTTTCTTTTTTAGAATGAAAGTCTCAGTTTTAATAAAGTCCAATTACTGACTTTTTTGCATAGCTAATATTTTTGATAGATACACACTTATTATCTTAAGCAAAGTCATTTAGATTTTCTCCTATGTTAACATCTAGAGTTTTTTAATTTTGCATTTTACAATTTAGGTCTAAGATTATTGTCAATTTTTTTTTAAAGTTATAAATTTTGTGTCTGGATTAATTTTTTGTTTATATATTTCCATCTGTTTCAGCACCATTTGTTGAAAAAAACATCCCTTTTTCTATTTAATTGCCTTTGTTCCCTTGTCAGAATAGTTGACTATTTATTTCTGCCCCCTATATCTGTTCTCTTGATTCATTGGTTTGTACTTTGGCCAATC